AAGCAGAGGATATTATTGAAGAGGATCGTGCAGAACCTGTGCAAACACGGCTTTTAATAGTATGTTTTTGTTTGTTGTTGTCTCTTACTTTTAGATACGCTGTTATTTGTAAATGTTACTGCTTCTGTTAGCTTCTAATATACGGTTTTATCCTGATTAAAGCTTTAAAACAGCAGAGTACATGATTGCGTTGTAGCCTTTTTGTAACAGTAAGAAGTGATTGTCAGCAAGTATTGCTCGTCACCATGGCAACCGTGTGCACATCCATGTTTAACGCTTCTCGTAGCGATGTGAAAAATATCTGTCTGTCTATACACATAAAGTGTATAACTGAACACAGTTCACTGATGGAGCTGACAAGCTGATGATCTGAATGAGAGAGAGAGAGAGAGAGAGAGAGAGAGAGCAGGGGACGCGAGGAACGGTATTAAGAACCGCTGCTTTAGAACATTGATTTTGAAACTTGTGAATCCATTAGAATCGTTAGAAGATAGAATCGCGATTCATATATGAATAGATTTTTTTTTGCACCCCTAGTTTTGACGGCATGGCAACAACTCTTCCTCTTCTCTAAAGCAGCACAACATGGCCCCGCCCCCTTTGTTGCATGTTCTCGGGGGCGGGGTTTATGAGGGCTTGTGATGTCACAAACCCGGGAAGTAACTCGTTGTAGTCCCTACCAGCCATTTTTGTAGGCATTAAACTGACAGAATTTTAAAAGACGATATCTCCGTTTGCATTGAACTGTCAGCTTCATAACTTTGCAGATATTGTTTGTGCCCAAACAGCAACATTACACACTAGCTAATGTTAAAAAAGTGAAATCGCAATCAACCTCCCCTTTAAGTTAAAATGTTAAAATAACTAAATCTTGATAAAAAATTGTATAGACATTAAGAAAAACTAATAAAATGGCAAAACAACAAAATTACTAAAACAAATTTTTATATATGTGTATATATATATATATATAAAAACTATTTTGATAAAAAGTTAATATAAATATTAACTAAAAGCATAAAAACATTTTCATTTCTTGAAACAAAATAAAAGTTAACTGAATATAAACTAAATGTGTGTTTCTTATTGGGATTTATTTATTTATTTTTACTAAATATATTTTACAATGTATTATGAATATTTATTTTATGCATTAATTTATTATATGTATTTCTTTATCTATATCCTAAACATATTTTAAGTTTATTTTTTTATTTTATTTTATTTTTTGCTAAACATATTTTTGTATTTAAAGCATATTACAGATATATTTAATTTTATTATAAATTATTATTATATTATATTTAATTTTAAATATTTATTTTATTTATTAATTTAACATTTGGTAAATATGGATATTTATTTATTTCACTAAATGTATTTTAAAATGTTTGAAATATTTACATCTTTATTTAAATTTGTATTTTTCATTCATTACTGAATTTATAAATGTATTTTTTGTTAAATATACTTTTAAACCTATTATATATATATATATATATTTGCACTACTGCACCAAGTCTACACATCTACAATATGAGTTTTAATGTGTTCTGTTGATTGAACTGGAGTTCAGGTCTCATATAAAGCCTCTTTCTGCTGATTTACTGCTGTGTAGATGACCAACAAACATACAGACTTGTGTTAAAGGTCAGCAAACGGCATCATGACTGACCCGCTGCTGTCAAAGGATGGCTTACACTTGTGTGTGTGTGTGTGTGTGTGTGTGTGAGTGTGTGTGTGTGT